CATCTTCTTCTTTATTATTGAGTCCATAAAATTCCACCGCTGTGATGGATTTGGGACTGGGACTGGGATGTACCTCTTTCATTACAGGGAGGATTTGACGCGATCGCCACGCTTGGGAGGTGGAATGGCGATCGCAAGTTGACGTATCGCAACTTTGACACTGATGCTCGTCACTAGCCCGGCATTTTATATCTAGTATGAACGTAAGATATGTACCGCCATCTTTCTAGCATTTTCCATAGTAACCTTTTCCATTGCAGCGACAACCACGGGCCGAAATGGAGCGGATTCGCTTGTGACGTCATCATACAGGTAAATTGCGTAAAATCAAAGTTATCGGACGATTTTTTTTTGTGACACGAAGTTCTAGTAGTCTCTATTTAAATGCTCATTTGCTTACGAGCTTAGAAAGAGTTACGTGAAGCTTGAAATATTTTACCATTTATCGCTATCTCTAAATCAAGAAAAAATAACAATTTTTATACCAAAGGTCATATTCATAGCCTCCAGAACTATGATTCGCAAGTAATTATTACACAATCGGTGTAAATTAAGCGCTTCTAGAACTATGACTACTGCGGAAACGGCCGAAGTATGTATTAGAAATATGAAACTTACAACGTTGAAAGGCATATTAAGGCATTCGTGCCTTATAATAATTTTTTGCTGTCCTTGACTTGTTTTAAAGGAAAATTATCAATGCATTTTTTTAATTTACCAAATTTGATATTAATTGAATATTTAGTTGAATAGTTATTATCACTACATGTTAGACCATAAAAATTAAGCCTCTCTAACAATGCGAAGGAGGATGAGGTTTAAAACGAATTTGCCACGCAATCTGCAGGATACAATTGAAATATTGATTTTAATTATAGGATACTTTCAAAATTTTGATCGTATCCTGTAGATAAGAATCATTAAGAAATAATTTTGTGCTATTTATCAATAAGTGGCAGAGATAGATTCTAAGTATCGCGTATTCGACGATAGTCGTACTATTTCGAAATTATGATTTTACTTTGTAATAAGAGTGATAATCAAGTAGTTTATTTTCAAATGAATACACATAACAAGTTGCCCAAAGTCTCAGATTGGAAAATATGGCCAGGATCACATTAAAACATGTGAATGCATATCAAGAATGATATAAATAGTTCGTCGCGGTTTTTCCTTTTGCAAGACAAAGAATACCGTCTTGATTCCGTAATTTAGTGTGGCTTATTAATGACGTTAAATAGACAAGTTTGTGGGCGTGAAACACTTATTGCTACCGAGTATATAACGACGAGTACAGGAACGATTTCCTCATATCAAGGCCCTGATGTACTTCGTAATTATTCTCGGAATTTTTGCTATGTGCGATAGCAAGTTCTTTTTTAAAACAAAAGATTAATGTATTTTTATAATTTTGTATATAATTTCCAATATATAAATGTAGATTTTAGTAGTATATAGGATTAATGCCTGAGGCATTCTTTAACAGTTTAATATTAGAAGAAATACAAGTTACAAGCATTTGCCAATATAATTTATCACAGCTACGAATATGCAAAATTTATTTATCTCTATCGTAAGCCTTGCAATATTAATTAATACATGCAATATTATTTAAAAATTACCAAATAGCCCATTTTCGTAATAATATTACGATATTTATCTTTTTATCGAATAAATAAAAATAAAAACGTAGAATGATGGTCTAATTGTCATCAACACTTGTATTTTGAAGTTTTTTTTTAACTAGGCGAACAGACGGCAGTTTTGCGAGAGTAACTGGTTATTTAGTTATTGTTGAATCTCGCAGAATTTTAATAGCTGTCCTCGATTTTTATTTAACCTTCTATCGTTCTCCAGAGTTGTTTAAAGTATTATATTTTAGAATTGTACCATTTGCATTAAATTATCTTTACTGTTCATTTAAATTCCACTCGTTTGGCGTTTTGTTCGTGTGCTTGCGTGCTGTGGTGCGGTCAGATTAGATTTGGTCACACAACCTAGTGAGGCTGCCTTCATGGTCGGGCGTACAGAGGCGCGGAGCGTTGTTTATTGTTGATGGAGCGGCTGCACTCTGGTGGTGCTTGCGCAACACCCGGAGGCAACACGCTCGACCCTGAACTCAATTCGGTCGCGATCATTTTGCAACTAATCACTGGTCGTTGCGCCGTTGGTAGACATCGCAAGTCGTCGCCGGCACAAATGTAAACATTTACAGGCGTTAGCCGAACTTTCGAGGTCAAATTGGACGTGCTCCCGAACATCATACACCATCAAATGACTATCCTTGCTTAATGTCTTCGAATTCGTCACTTCACATTTATTAAAATGAAGGTCTTCTATACACTTAATGGGTACAGATAGGCTACACTGCTGGTAGTATCACCTTGATCTGAGTGTTCATTTGTAAATGGGGTTTTCTTGGTCAGGTAATCAGGCGAACTGCGTTCTAGTTGCAATAAAAGGTATGTTATTATGAAGTTAAAAACATTTTTGGAAAATCAGTAGCTATAGGGGTTTTTTTTTCAATTTTCCAAAAAAATTTTCTTCATGTTAATGCATTTTTTACAGTATTCACTTAGTTATCACAGTTTATAAAAATGTATATTTTTGGTAGCATAAGAACACAGTCATTCGCAGGTGCTAAATAGCGTTCAAATTTGAATTACTTCCCATATACATAAATAATACTCTAATAACGAATACTCATGGTATGGAGTACGTGTTAATCTTCATTATTCTCGCATAGGTGTGATATATTCACGCTTGTTTTTCCTGATACTTAGGTGTAAAAATCTTATAGACGACTCTTTTTTGTTATGAGTCGAGGTTAGTACATGTTCTGCTTACTTTATAACGAATTCAATGTACTGTATTTTTATACAATGGTACCGGAAATTCATAAAATTTATTTAATAGCCGTAATTTTAACTAAGAGACCAAACGAGCTTAAGTTTTTGTTTATTAAGCACAGTACAGGTTATTATATTACACATAATAAACAATTATAGGGAAAGTGTAAGTTTCCTAACACACTTCAGTGTTAGGAAATTTTTGTGATTTGCGTATAGTAATCATATTTTGGGAAAATACTAATGTCGAATATTTGATACAAGCTGACATTTTTAAGTATGCGAAGGTTACTATTTAGAACTCTTAACGAATCAAACAGATGTATTTTACAATATAATGATATCATTAAATTTTCATGACCGGTTATAATATACCTACCAAATACCGACGAATCAATACCAACTTGTTGCTGTATAACACTAAGATAATTTCCTGCCCCGTATCAGGGGTCGCTTACCAATGGAAATCGGCATCGCGTTGATCAAGTCTTTCTTATTATTCACGTTTTTGCTCTATGAAACTTGTTGACCTTCAGTCATTTCCGATGTTAGCTTTCTTTATTTAGTCTTACAACCTTCAATTTACAATTTTTTTATTGTAGTCCATTTGTATAAAAAATATCAGTGACGTTCATGGAAATCCCAGACAGGTTGTTTTGTTGATAAAAGATTTTATAGTCGTCTATAACGTTTGTCTTTTAAATGCAGATTGTAAAGTTCATTCCTTCCTTAATGATAATTTATTAACGCAATAATTTAATATATTCATAATCTCAATCTCAATAAATTCATATAATAAGAAAATTATTGTAAGAGGGATAGAATTACGAAGCGTGTTTGAATTACGTTAGGTGGTAGTAATATAGTAATGTTTTTATTTAAAAATTTTTTTGAAGTATATTATTAACACTCAAATAGTTCAAAGAATAAAATAAATGTGTTACGATTTATAATTTCTTAAAAAAATTCTTAACTGTAGATACAAGACTTTAGATATTTTACTTTAGGTAAAGTTGTCTTACAAAATGTGTAGATATTATACAGTTAAAATTATAACAGGTGTTACAATTTTCTTGAAGAGAAGATACTTAATAACTTCTACTAGATTTTAAGTGTGCGTCGTGTGTATTCATTCTTTTTTGATTTTCGTTTAATTATTTATTTAGTTTTGTTACAGAGCACTAAATTAGTCGAAAAAGAGTTTTGTGACAGTGTATAAGGCGATACTAGAGCGAGTTAATCTCATGTCAAGTCAGTGGCCACGCGAAGTGACCTTACGTCACACGTCCCAGCGCTTTACGCCGCCACACGCGTCGAGAATACTAACGCTTGCAGAACGCCTTGGTGGATCCTTGGCTTCAAAACCGAGCTCCTTTCTTAGACTGTTGCGTTTATTGCACGTTTTCCACTATTAACCATTAGCAACAACCATTATACTGCTGAAGAAAATCGAATACTAAACGAATCTGTGATGAATCGATCGATTTCACAAACTATGTTGCACTTCGTAGTTGTACGAGTATCATTGTATGACAAGAAGCCGCGCCGTCGCCAATTCCCTCATAGAACATTAACTTAAATTTTGACGTATTGACTCTACATAGCAAATATTATGTAGAGTCAATATGTACATAGCAATCGACCTTAGATTAGCGCTCTTAGTCTGTTTTATGTAAAGGAACTAAAAAAAAAAACAATAGCTGGTAACTAGTTAGGATATTAACTTGAAAGTATTTAATCTTTTCTTCAATATTTTTTTAAAATTATAGTTTTACGTACTTCGTGATATAATAATTTTCACTATCATGTAAATTATATTACATTACTTAAAGGTTTATCCTTGTTTACGTTTAAGATTTGCTTAAGATATTTGCGTAATGAGCTTAAAGTAAAATAATTGAAATATTTGTATATTTAAAAAGGCAATATGTTTATAGTAAAAACTTTAGTCAAGATTCAAAGGTTTCTTGGATTGGTAATACTGAGATGAAATTTAATCCAAAATCGTTTGTATTAATTTAATTTAAACTGTTATAAACAAATCAATATCGTTTTGTAATGAAGTTTGAGTTGTAAATTCCCTTCATCACATGATTCATATAGCACACACTGATTTCATAATTATAGTTAAAATCATCAATGTTGTCTCACCTGAGGACGTGTTGACTCGTGAGCTCAACACTTCTTGCAGTTGATCTTCGATTTTCCTCTCTTGAGGGTAGCCACCAGTTCAGAGCACAGACACTATCCGATAGTGGACATCGAGTATCCAGTGCAGTCCGAAAAAACTAACGCAGTTGCTAAGCTAAGGTTGCGAGAATAAGCGAGGTGCGCGAATTTAGGTTTTCGTCGCGAATAGTGCGCCTGCGCTCGGCGTGCAGGTGGACTTAGTACTGGCGGCGCGCGCTGCCCCCACGCTCTTTTATCACATCACTCTTCACACGCCTTCAACTTGACTTCTTGGGTGTTTAGCTCCAGCTACAGCTGTGGCGTGTCGCAGGAAGATGGCATTAGTTGGAGTATGCCTTTGATAATTGTAATTATTGCTATCTTAAGTTATTTTTGGTGAGGTTCTTGTGATTGCCGATTCGATATTTTAATAATCGATTAATCGATTATGCTTAAAAGGTTTGATCGATTAATAATCGATTGCACTAATCTATTATTGTAAACTTGTTTTGAGTTTAAAAACATCTTAATATTATTTTATTGTAAAAAGATAAGCGGGTCTTGCAATGTAGTTCAAATAAAGTATTACAAAATCAACAAAGACATTTTTTTGCATTTATTTATTAATTTATTGTAATATAATAAAGCGAAAGAGGTTTTTTTGTTTGTTTAAACACGATAATGTCTGGAACTACTAGTCAGATTTGAGAAATTCTTTTTTAGTTAGCTTATTTTTTAGACAGCTCGTCTCATGAGAAATAATTTATAGGCTATCACGTAGCATTAGGCTAGTCTTAACAGTCGTGTTTAAATGTCTGGTGGAGATAGATAATTTAACGCAACGTTTAAAATGCTACCTATGAAGAAAAACAAGCAACTTTGGAATTGAAGATGAAAGTGTTAAGGAGAATGGAAAATGGAGGCAACAATTTTTAGCAGAGACTTTGACCTCTCAGAATCGGCTGTGAGAACGATTTTTAAAAATCGGGAAAAATTAAACTTTCCAGCAAAAATTCAACACATATAAATGCACAAAAACTTTCTCGTTAGAGATCCTCTATCCTAGAAATAATAGAGAAGTTGCTGGCAGTCTGGCTCGAAGACTTAAATAAGAAGAACACACCACTAAGTCAAGACTTCATATGCACAAAAGCAAAATCTTTGTATGAGATGTCAAAGACAGAAGAAGGTGAAGGGAGTTCCACTCCAACTTTTTCTGCCAACAGAGGCTGGAATCACCGGTTCAATCAGCGTTCCAAATTACACATTATCCAAATAACAGGTGAGGCCGCCAGCGCAGACACTCGAGCTGCAGCTGAGTTTTCAGACAAGTTTAAAGAGTTCGTAGCAAGAGAAAAAAATCCTGCTTATCTCATTTTCAATGTTGATGAGTACCGGGCTTTACTGTAAAAAATACCATCTCGAACATTCATTTCTAATGAAGAACGGTTTCAAAGCTGTGAAAGATCGACTAACACTTCTGCTGGGTGGTAACACCACTGTTGATTTCAAACTTAAGCCTTTACTATTGCACCATTAAGAAACATCCCGTGCAATGCGAAGTACAGATAAGACAAACCTACCAGACGTGTGGCGGGCCAATAGAAAGGCGTGGGTTACACCGGAAATTTTTCGAGATTGGTATTGTAAGTACTAAGTAAGTAAGTAGTTTTTTCCCGTCAGTCAAATCCTACTCTGGCAGAAAAGGACTTGAACGTAAAGTTATATTACTATTAGAAAATGCCCCAGGACACCCAACCTCACTTGATAAGCCGAGAGACGTAAAAGTGTACGTGAAATTCCTTCCATCAAACACTACGTCGATATTACAACATATGGACCAGAGAGCAATAGCAAACTTCAAAGCTTATTACCATCGCCGCAGTTTTAGCCAACTAATTCATGCAACTGACGGAGAAGACTTTTACAGTGGTAGAGCCACGCAGCAGCCTTTGTGCTTTTGCATGTATGGGCCGGCGTAAAGTAGAAGCTTTGCTTCTACATTTTGTCTGGTGAGTGCAGGTGGCCGGAGGCCCACTTCCCCCCGCCTTAACATGGTAGCGGAGTTAAATATAACACTACCCCAGGAAGGTACAGGTATCCCTCGCTGAGCATTCACGCCCAAACTCCCCTACTCTTTCTGAGCGTGGGTGCTCAGGCTGCCCCTCGTATTATGAGGGGGGAGGGGGGGCGAAATTCCACTCGAAACTAAACCTGCTCGGGGTAAACGGAGCAATAAGACAAAGGCGCTGCCCCTGCCACGCTATCCGTGGATTTCTGCAACATCAGGGGACTTCATTCAAACCTTAACGCCGTCTACTACCATCTGAAAATGGCGAAGCTGGCCTTGCTCTTTCTAACCGAGACACAGGTGTCCTCTCCGGCTGACACTTCATATCTCTCCTACCCGGGATACAGATTAGAACACTCTTTTGTGCTTCGGGCTGGAGTTTGCGTGTGCGTCAGAGAGGACATCTGTTTTCGACGCCTCGGCAGCCTTGAAGGTACGGACCTGTACATCTTATCCCTACGCGTAGATAGCGACGACCATCCCCACGTCTACGGGTACCTATATAGGTTCCATAGCGGTAATTCCGGCACAGACCGACCGATCGACCACGTCCAGATGGCTGCAGACTTCGTGCTACAACAGGTCACATCCGCAGAAATCGTGATACTTGGTGATTTTAACGTCTACCATGCTGAATGTCTTGGTTCTCGTTTAACCGATCATGCGGGTAGATCTGTTTATGACTTTGCTTTGGCATATGGTCTGACGCAACTGGTTACCTCGCCTACGCTGATCCCAGATGTGGAAAACCTTCCCTTTTGGATCTCCTGCTGACCTCTCATCCGGATGGATATCAGGTCTCCGTTGATGTCCCTCTTGGCTCCTCGAACCATTGTCTGATCCGGAGTATGGTGCCACTCACGCTCCCATCGCGGTTGCGTACTGCAGGTTGCCGCCGTGTTTGGCATTATAGGTCAGCCGATTGGGACGGGATGCGATCTTTTTTTGCATCCTATCCTTGGAGGCTGGTTTGCTTATCGCCGGATGATCCCAGCGTTGTTGCTGATTCTGTCGCTGATGTGGTGCCTTCGATTGGGTTTGGCACAAAGTGCTTCTTACGAAGCTTCCTTCCTATGGGCTTCCCGAGAAATTGTGCAATTGGATTACCAGTTTTCTTGCTGATCGGTACATCAAAGTCGTAGTAGACGGTGCATGGTCCGATTACAAGCCCATTGACGTTGGTGTTCCATAAGGTTGCGTGCTATCACCAACGCTGTTTCTTCTGCATATCAATGACATGTTTCAAATCGGTAGCATTCATTGCTATGCAGATGGCAGCACTGGTGATGCTTTATACACCGGCCGTGCCAATATTTCTACGGAAAACGTCGCTGAGTACCAGAACAAACTTGTGTCTGAAGTCGAGACTTTATTGAACAAAATCTCGGACTGGAGGCGACTAAATCTAGTCCAGTTTAAACCCCAGAAGACACAAGTTTGCGCGTTAACCACTAAAAAGAACTCCTTTTTCATATCTCCTCAGTTTCAAGGCACTCCCCTTGTTGCCTCAGCCAGTATCGGAATCCTCGGCGTCGAAATATCGAGTGACGTGCAGTTTCATGGTCACTTGGAAGAGAAGGACAAATTGGCCTTTAAAAAGCTTGGCGTGCTCAGCAGAGCGGGACAGTATTTCATGCCGCCTCACCCCCTGCAACTTTACAAGGCGCAGGTTTGGCCGTACATGGAATACTGTTCCTATCTCTGGGCCGGGGCTTCCCAGTACCAGCTCCTTCCATTTGATCGCATCCAGCGCAGAGCAGTTCGAATCGTTGGCGACTGAGCTCTTTCCGATCGGCTTGACTCACTGGCACTGCGACGAGATGTTGCATTTCTTTGCGTATTTTATCGCATCTACTACGGGGAGTGCTCTGAGGAATTGCACATCGCGACAAAATTCATGGTACTATCCATATCATCTGGATGACTGGGGGTCCACCACGAAGCGATTTAAAAGAAGTTTTCTTCCTCGCAGAACTTCCTTGTGGAACTAACTACCACCAGAGACTTTTCCGGACCGATACGACTTAGGGACCTTCAAGAAAAGAGCTTATTCCTTTTTAAAAGGACGGCAACGCATCTGCAATCCCCCTGGCGTTGCAGCTGTTCATGGGCGACGGTAATCACTTACTATTAGGTGAGCCGTATGCACGTTTTCCCCCTCTCCTATAAAAAAAAGAAGGAAGACGGTCTATGCGAGAGTGGTGGAAGTATATATACATACAACGTCATGAAGGCTATTCAAAATATAGACGAGGCTTGGAACGAAGTTAAAAATAAAACGGGAGAGATGGAACTGAAAAAAATGGAGGCACCTAGAAGAACTGTCCAGATGCAGAGACAAGTGCTTGAAGACATTCCTGCAGTGATTGAGGGGTCTGAACCTGAAGATGTCGAGGTAGTAGATATCGAAGAACTTGTAACAACGTACGATGAACCTCTCGGCAATGAAGATCTGTTTGAGTTACAGAACAATCCCATCAACAATGAGGAAAAGCAAGTAGAAGAGAGTTTCATCTTCAAGCGGAATACAAAATGCTCTTTCAAAAATGTATTCAGGTTTGGACATATTGCAGAGCATAGACAGTGATGATGACCGTGTTTTGACTGTGTGTCAAACGATTAAAAACAGCTTTGGGTGTTATTAACGTATTTTACAAGAACGTAATAGAAACGCTACCCAAAAGACAATAGATGTATTTATCCGTAACAAAAAACATATAATACTAATACTGCATAAAGTGTTCTTAGAATTAACTTGAGTGATATAAATTATTTGTGTTTTTTATATTAACCTTTGACTATGTTCAATCGTAAAGCCCGATTTACGCGAATTTCATTTAACGCGATATTTTGCGGAACGTATCCCTTGCGTAAAGCAGGGTGTTACTGTACTGGGATATATCATTGTAGAGGCAAACATCACACAACAAAAACATCACACAATAAATAACAGAGGGTGACAAAACATCTGCGTATTGATTCTTAATCGAGGATAAATAATAATTGATGTCTATGGGCCACAGTATCCACTCACCATCAGGTGAACTCTGTGCTCGTTTGCCAACCTTATTTTATAAAAAAATCCTCTATACCAGTTTGGCTTGCGTATGTGGACTATAAGAAAGCCTTTCGTTTAATTTCATTAAAATAAAGGGCGTGACTTCCCATCAATGGCGGCGGATTGACTGACGGTATATCGAGCTGCTGAAGTATTTGTACAGTAGGGCTAGGATGGCCATCCGAGAATAGGGAGGGCCAGAGTACGGTACCTATCCAATAGCAGAGGTATAAGGCAGGTTGACGTTATATCCCCGAAACCGGTGCATTGAAAGAAGTTTTCAAGCTACTGGACTGTGAATGATACTGACGACGTTATTAGCATCAATAGGGATTTCTTCAACCTAACCTCAATATTAGGTTCTAACGTATAGGTCATAACTCTTAAGATAAATATGAACAAGATAGAGGCCATGTGTAATGTCACGAACACAATGCTCGTAGTTGTTGATGAACAATCAACGGATCAAACTCGGCTGGGCAAAGTTCAATACCGATCAAGTTGAGAAACCGCCACGCTTAAGATCATTCCTACGGCTATACGGAAGCTTTTTCCGTTAAATGATGTGCCGAGATGACATGATGGTGAAGTATCCAATCAGTGATTAGTTTCCTTAGTGGAGACAGCTAGAAGGCTGTTCTTAGTAATTATTGTGATTATGAAACAAATTTCTTACTCAAAAATTAAGTCTTGTCATTTTTGACATACCCTTTGATTATGTTTTCTCGTTTTAATAAGAGATCCTTTTCATGATTTAATGAGATCCGTAGTAGATCTGCGGAAACGGCCAAACCTTAAAATATCAGTTTACCGAGTTCGATTGCTGGTAGCACCAATTAAATTGTTTGCTGCTAATTTACGCTGTTAAAAAATAGAGGTTACGTGAAATTCAGCAACGCGCATAAAGGCAACACCACCACCACAGACTCCTTGTTATAATCCCATGTTTGTAGGCAGCACATTTCCTGTTTTTACGTTTAGTGTTATTAAACAAGCTCCTATTCATTTAACATTAATGTTTTTGGAGATATCAAGATTTAAACCCCATTTTAATTGTTCAAAATTATACGAGTTTCGTAGGAAAAGTTTCGAGAATCATAAAGATATTTAAATGCAAATTTATATTTTGACGACTCTGCGGCGCAGTGGCTTAGCAATGGGTCGCGGGTTCGAATCCAGCACGGAACACGTAATTGTATGGCCTACAAATAGTTGTTCCGGGTTTGGATGTTTGTCCTTGTGAAATTAATGTTTGTAAACTATACAAGTACCACGATACAAGAGAAAATCTTAGTAACAAGATTCTCTATAATATCACTGATTTGTCTTTGTATAAATTCAAAGCGCATGTAAATGTATTGTTATGATGGCCAAACACGGTCTGTTAAACTGATCATTCCAACTGATCAGTTCAAACTAAAACTGTTGATAGTTTTTAAAATATCGGATTTTCGATATATCCATAAATAAACTTATATGTAAAACTCCGATATTAATATATTTATAATGATTGATATATCGAAAATCCACTATTTTAAAATATATCAACAGTTTTAGTTTGAACTGATCAGTTGGAATGATCAGTTGAACTGACCGTGTATGAATGAATAGAATGTATAGACATAATAAGCTTCCATAGATGTTTTTTACTTATGTATATATTTTATAAGGTTAAATTGTAACTGTTGGAAGGAAAAATAGCCTACGTGTGACTTACTTACCGCTTCTTATCGCAAGGTTTCCCTCAGTAGGGACTTGTAGAAGTGATGGCGTAGCATTTGAATTTCATGAAGTGGTAGAGCCACGCGGCAGCTTTTGCTGTTGCACGCATGAGCCAGCTCGAGCCGGGTTGGTAGCCGGGGTGGTACCACGACGTCACAGAATACCAAAATACCGGTATGAAGTGGAAGCTCTGCTTCCACGTGTCGTCTGGTGAGTGCAGGTGGCCGGAGGCCCAATCCCCCCCACATCAACATGGTAGCAGAATTAAATGTACGACTACCCCAGGGGGGTACCAGCACCCCTGGAGAATCCCTCGCTGAGCATCCGCGACCAAAATAATCCACTCCTGAGCATAGTGCTCAAGTGGCAAGACCATAACTGCTCGGGGCAAACTGAGCAACAACACCAAGGCAACCCCTGCCACGTTATGCGTGAATTTTGCAATATCAGGGGACTTACAAATTAAATAAAATAGTTTTATTCCTCATTATTTACACTTAATAAATTTGTTACAAATTCATTTTAATAGCTTTAAGTATATGCATTATTATAATATTAGAATTACCTTCAATTGGAAATTTCATTTTGAATTAAATTTGCTTTTATTTAGACATTTTAATTTTTATACAGTTTAGTACAGTTTTGACATTTTACGTTCACAAATCCTATACCTTTAAACGAGCAATTCTTGTATATATATATATTCGGAATCTCGGAAACGGCTCCAACGATTTTCATAAAATTTTGTGTGCAGGGAGTTTCGGGGGGCAATAAATCGATCTAGCTAGGATTTATTTTTAGAAAATGTCTTTTTGTCCGTGTTTTTAGGCAATGAAAAACTGCTACAATATCGTTAGTAAGAAGGTAAATTTTGACAGTTTATTAATGATTACAAATAGTTTAATTGGTATATTGGGCGGTCACAAAATCGTAATACCATCGTTCGAGCCCAGACCGACCGACCGACTTTTTTAATTTTTTTTTTCAAGTTCCTTTCTTTTTTGAGAAAATCTATTTTTTCGTGCCCTTTTTTAATATTTTTTAAAAACACGAAAATTTAAATTAAACTAATTGCACTCATGATTTTTTATTCACATAACCAGTTCAGTTTTTTTCTATTATGTCGCTACGATCAAAAAATATTATTCGTATTTCATCAGTATGTAATTTGTATCTAAATATAATTTCCAAAACACACGAATTAAAAAAAAACCGAGCGAATAATACCGAGCATAGCTCGGTCAACCGGGTACTTTATATTATTAGTCAGGGGACTTCACACGAACCTAAACGCAGTCCACTAACCTCTCGAGGCTGCGAAGCTGGCTCTGCTTTCTGACTGAGACGCAAGTGTCCGCTCCGGCTGATACTTCGTATCTCTCCTACCCGGAACACTGTGTACAAACTGGAACACTTCTTTGTGCCTTGGGCTGGGGTTTGCGTGTACGTCAGAGAGGACATCTATCCTCGACGCCTCGGCAGTCTTGAAGGTTCGGATCTGTCCCTCCTTTGGCTATGCGTAGACAGCGACTACCATATCCTATGCATCATATATGGGATCTATATCCTATAGTCGGTCTGTTTCGGCATATAATAATGCCGAACTCATCAACCACGTCCAAATGGCTATAGATTCCTTGGTAGATCCGCAGAGATCGTGTTTGCTTCTCGTCGGACGATATCAACGTTTTTGCTAATTCTGTCGTTGATGTGGTAGTTCAGGGTACTTTTTATTCCTTCCTCTGTGGTGCCCATCGGAGGCAGATCTCAGTCATGGTTTAGTCTTTCCTGTAAAATAACATCATACTGTGAGCATGATTACTACCGTGGCTGGGCTGATGCATCAACGTCCCGGGACGTAAACAGCAGAGCCCTGAAAAAGTATTAGTATTATTCCACCTCCAGGTCCTTTAATAGAGTCTTTGCCAAGGCAAAGTCAGAGTACATAGGCAGAATCGGCGAAAACTAGTTCGCTTTCCTCTTAGAACCCGTGCGTTCTGGTCTCTCGCCAAGGCTGTCTAAGGGAATTTCTATCAGCCATCTCTTACATCTCTACACAGGGAGGACGACTTACTGACCCATGCCGTAAAGGAGAAAGCCGATCTGCTAGGCTTTCTTTGCGTCCAACTCGACTCTCGATGATGGGGGGAGCATACCACTGACTATCCCGCTGTGTAAGTGCTCCATGTCGGATGTGCGGTTCACACAGCACTCGGTTCGCAAAGCACTCTTCTCCCTGGAGATACAGAAGTCGAGTGGGCCTGATGGAATCCCTCCAATAATGCTGAAGACGTAGGCTCCAGAGTTGGCACCGGTTCTAACGCGTCTTTTCTGGTACTCCTATTCCCTAGGCGTAGTCTCGAAATCATGGAAGACGGCTTTCATCCACCCAATCCCTAAAACAGGCGATCGCTCAGATCCATCTAACTACAGGCCTATCGCCATCACCTCCTTGTTCTACAAAATAATGGAATCGATTATAAACTGCCAACTCATGCGGTACTTTTAGGATCACCAGCTGATTAGTGACCGCCAATACGATTTTCGTCGGGGTCAATCTGCTGTTGATCTTCTGGTCTACCTGACTCATGGGCGTTGGCTACCGCCACCGTCCATGACGAGTCCAAGGAGGAGGCTGTAGAGTCCAATGGGGAGGCACTGGCCGTTAGTTTGGACATTGCGAAGACCTACGATCGAGTTTGGCACAAAGCGCTTCTTTTGAAGCTCCCTTCCTATGGGCTTCTAGAATAATTGTGTAATTGGATCACCAGCTTTCTTGCAGATCAGAGCATAAAGGCTGTAGACGG